TTTTTTTTTTTTTTTTTGAGCAAATCTTTTATTGTTTACTGTTAATTGAACAGGTTATCATCTGTTAAAATTGTTGAAACTATCAATTGATTGTTGTCATAATCTCAAACTACTGTTTAGTATTTCAAATATATTTGTTTGCTGCAGACGTGTAATTGTCGGATGCGGGACGATATTCGAGAAGTATTTGCATATTTTTTATCAAAAAACGATGATAAAATTCCTATATCACAAGTAAATCAATTTTAAAATTTTTACTCGTTTTTTTTTTTCTTCTCTACAATCTAATGTTAACAAAAAAGGAAATATTGGCGTCAATAAGCACAAAAAAAAATTTTTTTTAATCAAAAAATACCTGTTCAGGTTGGACTATGTCTTCGGGCTTTGGGATATACACCAACAGAAGAACAGGTGAAAAATTTGACAAAAGCCTGGGGTCAAGGTACTTTCAGTTCTCTAAAATAATTTTTCTCTTATTTATTTATATTCTTGTGGTTCAATTCAATCATTTCTGAGTAAAATACAAATGAATTAAAATTGACCAATTAAATTGTCGCTGCTTAATAACAATTGAAAAAAAAAAAGATACGATGAACTGATCGTCTGGAATAAGCAGTTTTATTTCTTTCCTTTTTTCTTTTTTGCTGCTTTTATTCAGCCAATTCCTGTACAAAATACCAGAAATCTGGTGGCTATTATGATGCAAAAAAAAAAGAACTTTTTATACTTGAATGTTTCTTTTTTCTTTCTTGTTCCCCAAACAGATGGTCGTGTATCACTGGAAGAATTTGTACCAATTGTTAACGATATGGAACAAGAAGAACGAACTAAAAAGCAGTTTACCAGAAACGATTATATTGAGGCTTTAAATCAGATGGATCGCGATGGAGAAGGAACTATACCGTCCAGCCTTTTACGTCATATGCTCTCATCGATGGGTGTGTAAAAGAAAGATGAATATTGAAGCCTTTTTTTTTTCTTCAGAAAATAAAAACAAAGAAAAAATATTTGTAAGCCACATTGGCGCCTTATGCATAAAATTGTGTACTTCTGCATTTTTCTGCAAAAAGTTTTTTTTTCCTCTTATAATCTCTCTCAAATAACGATTAAAGTTGTTTACCTATCTCCGATAATCGATGTCAAAATGATGGGTTTAAATTAGGAGCATACGAAGTGCATATAATATAGGAGTATTTTTTAGGAGAGCATTTGACGCAAGATGAAATAGATGGTATCTTGCTTGGATTGGAAAATGAGGAAGGCCGTATTAACGTTGCTAAATTTGTCGGTCGTGTTTGCGATACTTCAGCTGACTTTTAAACTTCTTTTTTTCCTTTCTTTTTACTTTTATTTTTGGTTAATGTTGTTTAATGTTGTTTAAGATTGCAAGAGAAAAAACTATAAAATTTATACAGCATATTTTCAGCACCCATATATGCGTTGCTTAACAACATCGTTCTCTTTGCATTAATATTTGCGGTTCATTTTAAGCGCTACAGCTTTTCCGATAGCTACTGCGATAGCCAATCCAGGCGGCAACCTAAAGAAAGAATTTTGGTCAAAACATAAGGCTTTTTTTTCACAATTATCTGAGAAACCAAATAGAGCAGAAAGTTTTAAAAAATTCAGTTTATTCTGAGAAAACAAACTAGAAAACTTTAGGTGGCCTTCAGAGTAATAAACAGGTAGTAAAAAGTGTAAAAATGTTTGGTCCAGTAAAGAGTTGTGGTGAAAAGAAAATTAGTTAAAAATGGTTCTACCTTAGCAAAAGTAACGTAGTACAACTTTGGAAGCATTGAATTTCAACTCCATTTTCCCACCTCTTATCCTTCCATAAGCTCCCCTCAGCCCTAATCCTGAGAAAAAATTTTTTTAGTGTCAGTTTCCTATTATTTCGCCTCAGCAACAGCTACCTGCAGCTAAGTAATGGATAAAATAGATTACTGGTAACTGAAAGCTAACTGGTTTTATGAAAACAAAAACCTTTCACTATTCCCAGTCCAGTTCTGCAATATTATTTGATGACTTAGTCCAGTCTATATAATATCAGTAAATGATTTACCAATACAATTATCCAGTTTCCTGTTGAATGTGGTGCATTTTAGCAGAATATCCTATTAGTGGAATAGGAACTCAGAAAAAAAACATCAACGTTAGCAATTAAAGAGTCAAAGAAACCAGTAAAATTTTTGAAAAGAAATAATAAAAAAAAGTTGCTTCTCATTTTAACTCTTTAGTCCACACTCCATCGTTCAATCCCATATTAGTTTAGCCAAAAAAAAAATTTTCTTTGAGAAACGTTTTCCTCATAAATCATCGTGTACTTTAAAGCTTAACGATTTATCTGTTAAAGATGGTAATTATGATTCAGGTATAAAACCGATTGGGAACATGATAAACTGGAAGATGAAATGCAAGCGTCATCTGGTGTCATCTGGTAACATTAACCTAAGCTCATCTAACAAAATCTTTGTGACTTCTACTGATAAACTATAGTCATCTAATAGCCGAGTCTTTACCGTAACCTATACCGAACAATTCTTATGCTGGTCAAAACTGATGAGTTATTTTCCATTATATAACAGTTTTGAAATTTTGAAACTAA